ACTGCAGATGGCTTGCAATGTGAGAGCATAGTGGAATTGAGCGGCTTAGGAACCTTTGGTCAATACCCAAGCAATTGCCATAGAGACCTTGTAAGGCTATTAAGGGCTAGGTTGAAAAAGTCCATGCACGGGGGCTTGCAAGAAAGCCCAACAATTTCCATTCAGGTTCCTGCCTTGGATGCCAAAGAAGAAAATCCAGAGACCAAGGCAGCATGCCACATTGTACTGCCACATTTGCTGGTTTGGCAATTATTCAGCAGCTATCCTAAGTTGGCTCCTTCGCTTTTTGGCCTTCACAAGTTGAAAGCTTTCTGGGGAAACTTGAAAAGCAATGACCCCAGGCTGTGGGACAGTGGCTTGAAAGAAAGCCAAAAACACAAAACCATCCCTCTCTGGCTTCATGGAGATGGTGTCGAATTTTCCACAGACTCCTTAATGACATTCACCTGGGGACCCACGCTTTATGCTCCTCAAGGCCTGAAAGAAGGCCCAAGGGAAATGCATCCCAGCCACCCCATGGATAGTTCTTTCCTCATAACTGCATGGCCAAAGTCAGCAGCTGCTTCCAACACATGGGTGGAAATCCATGAGGTCATGGCTTGGAGCTTCACTGCTCTTTTCCAAGGTTTTCACCCAGACGTGGATTGGAAAGGGAGGCCACTGCCAACAAATTTGAAAAGGCTTGCAAGAAAGCCAATTACACCTGAGGGGCATTCCTTCTGGGTGTTCAATTTTTTAGGCGATTTGGAATACTATGCAAATCACCTAGGTTTCCCCCATTGGCAAAGCAAAAAATTTTGCTGGCTCTGTGATTGTGAGAAAGGAAACCATCTGAAAAACCCTTTTGATTTCACCTCTGAACCTGGATGGGAAATGAAATCTTTGGAAGGCTTGAAAGAAAGCCCTTGCACCAACCACACTCTGTTCAAAATCCCTGGTGGCCTACCAGAATACAGAGTGTGCTTCGATGTCTTGCACACTTTAGATTTAGGTGTGACTGCCAGGTTGGCAGGCTCCATCCTACATGCCTGGGCATATCCACCTGGATCCAAAAAAGAGGTTGGGCCTGGCAACACTGCCAAAATATGGGCACTACTCAAAGAAGCATACGCAGAATTGCACATCACAGAGAAGTACAACAACCTCGTGGTTTCTATGTTTACTTCTGAAAGAAACCCATTTTCACAGCCAGCAAAGCTCAAAGGCCATGCAGGAGAGATTCGACATCTCATGCCAGCATTAGCCATGGTGGCCTGGAAGAAGGCCAGTGAATGTGAGGCTTTTGCCCACATGGCTGAATGCTGCCACCAAATGGCAAATTTCTATGCCATCATTTCAGAAGATGATTTTTTCATGAAGGACAGCACAAAAGCTGAGAAGTGCTTGAAAGAAAGCATGCAGCATTACATTTGGTTGCACCGCCATTTTGGAGATGAAGTCAGATTCACATTGACGCCTAAATGCCACTATGTGGCACACATTGCTTTGATGCTGCATTTCCAAAACCCAGCTACCTGCTGGACATACAAGCAAGAATCATTCATGGGATACATTGCAACCTTGGGCCACAGCTGCTCACATGGAACCAGAGCTTCGAGAATCAGTGAATCTTTCATCACAAAGTACACCATGGCTGTGCAGCTCAGAATCAATGAAATAATTTAGAGGCTTGAAAGAAAGCCAAGCCTGGAATGCTGCTGTAGACATGGCTTCAAAGAAAGCCCTGACACCTTCAGCTTGTCAAAGAAAAAGCTTTGCCAAGATCAATATCGATCAATATCGATCAATATCATTTTCAATATTTTCCATCAATTTTAATCAATCTTGATCAATCTCAAGATCAATATAGGATTGATCATGGTATTGATTTTTGAGGTCCCAACATGTGCCATTTTCAATATTATTGAAAATGATTTTTTTTCAATACAGGGATTGAAGTTTTTCAATATCGGATCCTCAGGGAAGCAATTGTTCCTGAAAGTTGCTCCGGACATCTTCCCAAAGCTGCTCCCCAAAGCTGCTGTCCAAAGCTATTGCCCGAAAGCTGCAATTCTGCAAACCTATGCCCTAAAACGTCTCCCTAAAGCTATTCTGCAAAGCGGCTCCAAAAGTTGCTACTGAAAGCTGCTCCCCGAAGTGGTTTGTGTACAGGCAGATCGTAATATTAGTAGTAATAAATTGAGGGCATGCCGTTATAGGCAACTGTCCGTCAATGCTGCTGCAAAGCCGCAAAGTTGCTCCCCACAGTTGCTCCCCAAAGCTGCTCTTCAAAGTTGCTACCAAAACGTCCCAAAGAAGCTCCCAAAAACTCCAATGCTGCTGCCCGAAGCTGCCAGCTGGTCTGGAAAGCTGTCCAAAGTTGCTCCACAAAGCTGCTACCCAAAGCTGTTCCCCGGCGCTGCTCCACAAAGTTGTGCCCCAAAGCTGTTCTCCAAAGCTGTTGCCCTAAAGCTGCGATTCTGTCAACCTGTTCACGAAAACGGCTCCCCAAAGCCATTCTGCAAAGCGGCTCCCGAAAGCTGCGCCTCAAAGTTGCTACCAAAAGCTGCTGTCCAAAGCTATTGCCCCAAAGCTGCAACTCTTCAAACCTAGAAAGCTGCTCCCGAAAGTTGCTACTGAAAGCTGCTCCCCGAAGTTGTTTGTAAAGCTGCCCCCGAAAGGTGCTGTTCTTCAAAGCAATTGTTCCTGAAAGTTGCTCCGGACATCTTCCCAAAGCTGCTCCCCAAAGCTGCTGTCCAAAGCTATTGCCCGAGAGCTGCGATTCTTCAAACCTCTACCCTAAAACGTTTCCCCAAATCTATTCTGCAAAGCGGCTCCCGAAAGCTGCTCCCGAAAGTTGCTACTGAAAGCTGCTCCCCAAGTGGTTTGCGTACAGGCAGATCGTAATATTAGTAGTAATAAATTGAGGGCATGCCGTTATAGATTGCGGCTTGCAATTCTTGGGGCGCAACAGTGAACAGCCATGCGGTCTACACCGAGGGCACCGCCACAGGGTTAACATGACTAAATGTGTAGCCATATGAAAATATGCGACTGGTTTGGTTGTGCAACTTCATTCCGCTAGCTTGGCGAGCCTATATCAGCGGCCTTTTTCCAATGCAAAGTCAGCGGCACCAAAAAGACACTCGTACCCACGACCAGCAAGCTTGAAATATCTGTGGGCCCCCTAGTGAATTCAAGAGAGCGACAGTCGCATGCGGTAAATTCAAAATAACGGAAACGCAAAACGAAAGTTCCCAAAGTTTGTATCCGTGAAAAATTCCAAAATTGTGGCAGATTTTTGGGAAAATTGGGCCCCGGGTGAAAGTCCCAAAATAGTGGCAAATTTTTGGGAAAATTGGGCTCGGGGTTAAAGTGCCAAAATTGTGGCGAACTGCGCGCGCGCCAAATTCAAGAGACACATATTCAAACTCAACTGAGAGACCTACCGAGCGACAGTGGACCAGGGGGGAATCGAACCCCCGACCGACCCTGACCGACCGTACTGCATTTGCGTAGTGGGACACTGATTGGAGAGAAGAGAATTTTCCCAAAAAGCATCACATTTTTGGGAAAATCAAAATTGAATGTCCCAAAAAAGTAATAAATTTTCGACCTCCGAGCAGGGGGCTCAGGAAGCACGGGCTTAATTTGTATTCGCACAGTCTAAGTTTGTATTCGCCAATTTTCCCAAAAATGTGGCAGATTTTTGGGGAAATTGGTCTCGGGAAACTGCGCGCGCGCGCTCTGTGTAAGGCCAGATCGTAATATTAGTAGTAATATTTTTTGTATATTTTTGGTATTAAAATAAATTTAACGATTCAATGAATCTGATTCAATCCAAAGAAAAATTGTCGTAATAAGGCCCAGAGGCCCTCCGATGTCAGATCGCAACCCTCTGGACGGCTTAAGTAAACTCTCGACTCGAATTAATGCATAATTATACCTCACCAACGACCAAAAAGGAAAGATCACCATATATTGAAAGATCCTGAAAGCATGTCCTGAAACCTTGCCATCTTTCATGAGTCAATATGAGTCAGTGTCGCTTGACAGCAGTCTGTCTTTCGAGCAAAATTTAGAAAGGAAGACTCAAACGAGTCAACCCTATGACGCTGGCTACACACAAGTCATAAAAGGTGAGTCCCCAAGACAGCGGGCAGCAATTCAACATAGTGGCATTCGACGGGTGAAACGGTGAAACCCGAAAAAGGCCATCTGTTCCACTTTACGTAGACGAATTACTAGAATTACTAGAAATTAAAAGTGAAAATTCAGAGGCCAAGTCGAAGGATGCAACATCCTACCTAGACAGGTATTCCCCGAGGGGCTCACGACATCTTGTCGAGCCGACGTGAGTAACACACTTGCTCAAATTTTTTCAGTGCGAATTTTGTTGTGGAATGCATCTTACGTGCAAAAACACTCCAATTACACCTGACATACGCTTGACAGGAGCTACCATCGCCATAGCCAGTGCCGAGAATGTTTGAATGAAAGCTAACCCTTCCCCTTTCCCGTTGAGATTTAATTTGAAATTGAAATTCGACGTGCCCGTTCTGGGCTTAGCCGGTTGCCATGACAGAAAAAACGGAATGGAAAATTGCAGGTACGTTTTCACCCCCATGCTGTCTGGTCTTCGTTGGCCAGGACAGACAGTCATGGGTTCCTGGCCCCCTGCCATAACTGAAGTTCATAAAGAAGCCATGAGAATGGAAACCTAAAGTTAGAAGTTTTACATCTCTTCAGATAGTTCACACACACACGCACACACACACAAAAGCGCAAGTCCATCACAGTCTTGCATTGCCCCGCCCCTTTACACTTTGTCGGTTCTCGCTGCTACCTTATCCATCCCTTAAACACGCTGTTTCACCCACATCCCTTTCACGCAAGAATCTTTCACGCACAACTCTGTCACACACAGCTCTTCCCGTGTTCGCCTTTCTTGTGCTACTTATTGGACGAAGTTGACATGTGGGGTTATCCGGTCCTTTGATTTCCCGATTTGATCTTATTTTATTACATTCTCGGGCGATTCCTTGGTCAAGCAATGGATATTTGTGTACATGTGGATCAATGTAGGGTTGGCTGCAGGATGCTGCAGGATATTTCTGTATATAGTTAGTACGGGATTGCAATTTAAAAGCTTTCATTTTGCAGTCCTTCGCAGCATCACTGAGCGCGGTGCTGCTTCAATCGGATCCGGAGTTTCAGACTTGAGACCTGAGTCATGCATGGACAACGCTTTCATACACCGTTAATGCCAATCTACCTTTCGAAGATTTTCGTGCAATCCAAAATGCATCTGTATGGTATACGATCCCAGTTGACAGTTGAGTCAGTGTAGAACCCCTGAATCTACATCACGTCAAAGAATAGTGGCTGCATGTCACCGTTTAATCTCACTTCAATCTGCACTTGTAAGGGTGAATTCCTTCGAGGTGCTGGCATCAAATTTCAAGCCTTTGCACTGCAACAAGCGGAGAGTCCTACAGTAATTATCGCACAAACGCACCGCGAAAGTCTGAGATTCCACACTTCTTCGTCGAGCTTCACCGTCTCAGTCTGCACGACATGCAACACGTGTGCCTGCACCTCAATGTCAATAACGGCATGTGTATATATATATGTTATTATTATTATCATTATATATTCAAAAAATAAAGTAAAATAGATACTAAGTCCAAGTTGGCTTTCGGGTCTCAGGTTCGACTGTCTTGGGTGAAAAGTACGAAACGTATGCTTTCATATGCTTTCTGGTTTGTTCCAATCTTTGCATCGAATCAGCACACGACGTACCTTCGAGAAAGCAGTTATGCAAAGGTCCTGCTCCCACAGGGAGCACATTTTCATGACATCGGACTCCGTCGCTCATGAGACATTCCCCGGCAGCCACCATGATTCACCACTTTTGACTCCAACAAAAGCTGTTTGAAGCCAAATCCAGTGGAACATTGCCATTGACGATTGCAAGCTCTGGTGGCTCATCAGCATCCAGAGCGGAAGAAGTTCACAAGCAGGAAGGACTCTGTATTGCAATATGCTGCAAAATCTGCCCATTTGCAGCCATTGTCAGCTGCCAGCATTGCTGCGGCGCAACTGATGAAATCCTGGATCCATCTGATGTGAAGGCAAATGCAATCCAGTCATGTCAAGTCAAAGATATTCAAAGGTTGGGTCATACAATGAGTGCAATCCATTTCCATTTCGCGGGTTTTGGGACGCAGCCTATAAATTAACATAATTGGCAAGCTTGCTGCGGCAGCCAAGGATCTGGCTCGACTATACGGGAGGACATCGAGTGAAATATTTGCATTGCTTCTCCCCATTGACCGGCCTGGGAGCAGAATTGCATGGAGTTGCACGTCTGAGCATCATGATTTTCTGGAGAATATTGCTACTTGCCGAAACCAAACCTGATGAATGTATATGAGTGTGATGGGATGAACATGGATGAACATGGATGAACATGGTTCCTGCATCCCCCGGCCTTTTCAGAAGCTAAAATCGCTGCATTGCAGCAAAATTGATCTGGCTGCTTCTCGGGCATCATGTAGAAAAGGCCCAAGGCAGTCTGCCACCGACGTCCTGTGTCACAGGCACTGATTGCACTGCCTGCAGTCTATGGCGTCTTTAGGGCTGGCAGCGTCCGATACAGCCCACGACTTCCCTTGCTTGTTGGGTTTCTCATGGCAGAGGTATGGCAGAGGTATGGCAGAGGTATGGGGGCGATTGTGGGAATGATGGGAATGATGGGAGGTTTCCCCGTTTCCCCTCAACTTTGGTCCTTAAAATTCCACGGCGCCACTAAAAATGTGAAACTAGAAATATCTGTCAGCTACTTTTACAGCTACTGTATGACTCGCGCAATTCTATTGAAAATCCTGATGCAAGTTCCAGCACATTTTGCATGAGGGCATCGCATTTTTTTGTAGCACACCCTGAGATTGCTTATCAAAGAACAATGGATCCATGAAGTCGCTGGAAGTCCCGATTCTGAGCCCGGCCCCGAACTACCCAACAATTGGAGTCTAAAGCCAGTAATTTGAAAATGCTAAGGCTCTGAAGGTAACATGGTTCGGTGTGAGGGTGATGCTGGGCATCTTCCTGAGCAATGCTAATGTTGAGCGCCATTCGCCACCTGCACCGCAAACCAGCTCTGAGCCATGCATACTTTGCTACTAGGGTCCTGGCCACCCTCCTCTTTTGAGGAAATGATGAGAGAAGCACATCTTTAGCACATCCCTTTCTTTGGTAGTCCTTTGGCACTTGCTTCCTTCAGCGATTACCTCTGTTTCCTTCTTACACCCCTGTCATTGATCCATTGATCCACAGTGTCTGACCTTGTTCGCACGCACTCATCAAGCTGCTGCAGCTGATCACATCCATGGGGACACGCATCAGAGCCATGCGATCACAGAGTTGGAAAGCAAGGTGCCACCGGCTCCCTGCCATGGGATACATTGGGATACGATGGGAAGAGAGTGCAAGGTGTTGGCTAAAGCTAAGCAAGAAGCTGGGGAGGAGATTGCTATGTCTTTCGCAGAACGGCTCCTGGGATGACGGCCTCAAAACCGGCCACTATTATGATACTATGACCTCACTACTTGAAGACTTACAATTCAAGACGTCCAACACCTTACAGTAGCGTCTACTCAAGGGCAAATTGCACATTAAATAAGAAAGAACCAGAATATATATATATAGAAATGTATACATCTCTCTCTCTCCCCACATATATATAAATGGGTGTGTATTATATAGATAATATAATGATTATATATATATCTTTCCACTCATCAATGCTCGATTTCAGGCTGCATTGCCCTTTGCCATGCCTCTCTCGCACGCCAAAATGACACCACTGTAGCTCACTGCCTCACATGAAAGGGGAGTGTGAGGAAGCACAAGGCTAACAAGTCTCAAACTTTCAAAGTTCCCCGGCTCTAAGGTTCGAGCATCTGGGGTAATCCTTTTCTCCATCTCTTGCAGCAGTCCCAAAGCGAGCTGCCAATGACTAGAATTCGCACATGCGCTGATAGTAGCATTGTAGCCTCAAATAATCAGCATAATCAGCCAATGAGGCAAGATAGGCAAGGCTCCAACAATTGTTATTGCTGATGGGGCTACTTATGGTAGCACCCTAGGACCCTAGGAAATAGACATTTTGTCATCAGTTCTGCGCGCAAAAAGTAGCGATTTCTACGTGCCAGAATGTCGCGGGCATTTCTGCTGTTAGAATTGCTGAATGCATATTACAAAAGCCACCAGAACTGCCAGAATGCAAGCCTGCAATGGCCTGCAAATAAAATTCATCAGCAACAGCAGCAGTCAGCAGAAACAACAGCAAATGCTGGTCAAGCCAGAGAGCCCGCAGCAAACCCCAAACAGTCAATAGCAGCACCTGCCATTTCAAGATATTTCACATGTATGGAAAGAAGACTAGCCGTACATAGAACCGCAACAAAAGCCACCAGAAATTGCTGAAAACAAGCCTGCGCATGAAGTTTCATCAGCAACAGCCCCTGATCAGGAATGCCAGAACAAGACAAGCAGATAGAATGGCAGCAAAAGCCAACAGAACTAGCAGAACACGCACATGAAGTTGCATCCGCAGCAGCCCGTCATCAGGAATAATTACAAACGGCAAATGGAATCGATTCCGGGAGCTTTGTAATCAACTCTGGCAACATTGTTTTGGAACTTACTGCATTGGTTTGGAAGATTCTAAGTGTCGAGTCAGTACTTCGAGGCCAAAGTGTGACAACGATTCTGACTGCAGCCAATAGTATCACTTAGAACTTCGAACGCAATTCTAACTGCGTCACCAAAGTAGCCGACTGATTCCAACTGCGAGGCCTCCACTATACAGATCTATACAGTAAGATGCTAATTTCTAAACGCAGCATGCTTCGACAGCGGCGTCTAATCAAAGATGACGATCGTAGACGCGGATTTTAAATGCTTCTACGATTTGTTGGCTCTGACCAGATCCAAGTAGCTAACATCATCGGCCGTCAAGCGTTTTTTTGGTAGCTGCTCCAGCAAAGCTAAAGCATTCTGCCATCGTTTGGCTTTCTCACAAGCACTCAGAGCTGCATTTTGCGCCACCAGATTAGGCTTCATTGATGCCTCCTACAGACCACTTTGACTGACCATACCAGGGGGAAAGAAGTTGAAGATCCATTGAAATCCAAATACATCCAAATACGGAGTTGATCTGTTGTGGGCCCAGGACTTGCAAAACAGGTATCTGTGCACGATGCACGAAAAGGTGTCCTCCATTGACTGCAGCAGGTAGAGAGCTGATTGCCATTTGGCACATTTCCTCACAGATTCCACGTGGCATGCAGAACCATCTAGATAGAACCATTCCTCAAACCTCGGTATCTTAGCAGCAAGGTACAGTAAGTAGCTTGAAAAGCCCCTCATCCTGTTCCCCGTTGTCGTACCGTCGTACTGTTCATTCTTATCTGCTAAAAAACTGTTCCCATCAGGACGAGATTCTCGCATGAGCTGATGGCACCGCTGATGCAAATGACATCCGCCTCCACCTGAGCTGTGTTCAAAATTCCTTTTGATCTCCTGAGAAACAATTCAAAGCTTACGTAGGAGCTTACGTTCGCTTACGTTTTCCAAGGTTTTGCTTACGGCACAGCAATTTCAAAGAACTAGCTTACGCATCTCTTACGGCAAACTTTCCCGGCAAACCAAAGAGTGAAATTTTAGTGAAAAACACGTGCTAGGAAGATGCATTTTTCCCCACCTGCCAGGTGAGGTTGTTAGATTTTATCAGAGCTGTTCTTCCGCCTCCTCCTCCTCCTTCTCCTCCTCCGCCTCCTCCTCTTCCTCCGCCTCCAGTTTCTCCTCGACCATGTCTGCATCAACTTCCACGTCCACTTCCGCCTTGCCAACTCTTCGCCAATCTCTTCGCCAACTTCCGCGCGCAGTGGGCACTGCTGGACCTCAACTGCCGGCTTCGGCCTTGCCAACTCTGTGCCAGGGGTCACTGAAGGCAACCTTCGCTTACGACTCGCTTACGGATTGCTTACGCCGAGCTTACGGCAATTTCCGATCTCCGATTCGGATTCTGTGAATTTTGGTTTGATGTTCAAACAATACCGCGAAGAAAGTAGCATTCGCTCTGGCCTGCTTTCCCTATATGCAATGGCATAATGGCATAATTAATCTTCGACATTCAATAGCATGCAATAGCATGCACCAAATGAAGCACACAACCTTGTTTGAACCCCAGCTCTCATGGCCCGACATGGACTTACGAACGGCTTACGGCAACATGTTTGTGACCAATGCTTACGTCAAACCTTTCGCACTGCTTACGAAACCCAAGGAAAGTCTTACGACTTGATGGAATTATTTCAAGCCCAATACTAAACAAGTAAAGGGGAATTTAGAACGCTGCTCACCTGTCGTTTTGAAGTTGAAGCGCTGTTCATGGTCAGCCAGTAACTTTACAACAATCCTTTATAGGTATACTTCACTCTGACCATCTCTGACTGATTCAGAAGGAGATATATATGGTATAATTAATATGGTATAGAACGGAAGCTAAAAGGAACGTGTCTTTTGGGGGGTCAAGGCAGCAACACCGCTTTGTGTCACAACACCCTGCAGAGATATCCTGTCCTTCAAAGCTTCCATCACCTCCAAAAGGCCAAGGGCTCTGTGCCATTGGCTTCCTTTTTTGCATGCCTGGGCCCACTGGGACACTGGGACACTGTAGAGCAAACGCCAAGTTTCGATACACTACAGTAGCAGGGAATGCTCATGTCGACAATTCTGAACTCCGGGGAATGATAATGAATTATATATAATGATGTGTATAAATAAATAAATATATACATATATATATATATTATATCACTATACCTCGAGGAACCCTTAGGCACTTTTTTCTGCCCTCGGCGCCAAGGCAGCCGCATAGGCACTTTCACCCGGAAGTTTGCAAAACTCGGCAGATTTATATTGATGCAGGCATTTTTGTCTCAAGATGTTCTTTGTGCTCCGGCATCATTTTGTGCCTAGGCATTTTTACCCAGAAGTTAGGCGGAAAAAACCGGAATCTAGGCGGAAAAAAGCGGAATTAGGCGGAATTTTGTTCAAAACATTTTTCTGCACTGAACAACATGACAAGACCATACAAAAATTTATCAGCTTCGGCATTTTTTTTGGGCTTAGGCATTTATTCTGGGAATCGGCAGAAATAAACGCCTACAGGCAGGTTGCGCACTTTTTTCTGCCTAGAGGAGTTTGTAGGTATACAATGTGTTCATGTGCGCGAGGTGCCGCGCACCCTAACATGCACAAACATACCAAACCAACCTATTTGCCAGCCATAGTGACACTGATGGCACCACTGAACGCGAATGCATTGACCTCTGGAGCTGCAGCGCACAGCAGTGCCATAGCCTCCTGCCAGCGACAAGCCTTTTCGCAGCAGCTGATCGCGGAGCCAAACGTGTATACCTTGAGACCATCCAATCAAAGACTCGCGATGACTCGCTGTTCAGAGTCGCATGAATCAAAGAAGTTGTCGTTCAGAACTATGCAAGGCTCGTGTAAAGCTCCAGAGGCTTTGTCTCACAAATCCACGGTTCAAACAAGTGTTCAAGCATGCAACAAACTGATCCAAATTCACGCCAGGATTGATACAGTTATGCCGGTTATGCCAATAGCCAGCAATGTGCTGTGCTGCATTCGTTGTGAAGAGTCGAGGCGCATTTGGCTGGATAGTTGCGGATGGCATCTCTGCAAGAAGTTGCAGGACCCGAGTCCACTGTCCAGACCTTAGCTAAGTAGGATTCGGAGTCAAACATATGACACTTGAAGGAATCTTGAATGCGAAGTTGCCAATGGAAAGGTTCTCAAAGGCTGCTGTGCCAATTGTGTCAGAGTCTGACGCATGACATCTCAAAGAACCTTTTCTCAAGCAAGGCTCTTTTCGCACGCAGATGCAGCTGTTGAATAATGGAAAACGTTGGCTTCCACACTGGCAAGCCTCAGCAAGTCACATAGCAAAACAAGCGAGAAAACCGCCGGGTTCCCAAAACCTTCAGCATGACTCAGTACAGTGCCAATTTGCACTTGCATATTTTATATATAGATATATACACTGTCCCTGCTTCAAGCTCAGCAACTGCATGACATTCAAGACTTGAAGGGCAAGCTCGGCACACCTGCGGCCACAATGATAATCATGTGAGAAGCCTTCATGCCCCCAGGAGCAACACAATCAAAGACATTGTATCATGTTTGTAATTGTCCCAACTCAGCTCAAAAGAGATCCTGGTGGCACTTTCTAGCTTGACGAATGCCGAAATTGTATACTAAGCAAACAGACTTGCTGTAGCTGTAGTAGTAGTAATAGTAGTAGAAGTAGTAGTAGTAGTAGTGGTAGTGGTAGTAGTAGTAGTAGTAGTAGAAGCAGGAGCAGTAGCATCTGATACCTGCTTACTCTTGCTTCCTAGTTCGAGAGCTGCAGCGAGCTGCACACAGCAAACAAAAAGCCTCAGTTTGGCCAAGCCATTCAGTACACATGTGGCTTCTGCTGGCCGCTGCATCCAGCGCCCCAAGGCGCCACCAGAACTCTCCGATGCCAACAGCTGATACACCTGGCGCTCTGGCTGAAGCAAGCGAGCATGAGCATATACGGATATACGCATATAGAGACTTATAGAGATATAGAATATAGAATTATATGACATGATATATTTATATAGATGTAGATTAGATGTAGAACGTCATAGACATAGGTGTCCGCCATGTATATATTCATGAATGTAAGGAGAATGAAATCCTGATGAGTCAGGACCGATACCTTGAAAGCCCTGGCCAAGTGCCGAATATGTACACTTTGTCCTTAGTACATCTTAGTACACTGTTATTTGTGTCAAGTCCCTGCGTGAACCAGGTGCCAGGCAGACATCCTCTTTCTTTTTCGGACTGTGCACCAGCAGCAACTCGACTTCTGGGACAATCCATTCCTGCCAAGTCGAAGAGCTGCAAACTCTTGAAACATGACGTGTCCGACGTGTCCCCCGGAGCAAGTGTCTCTGCCACTGCATGTTGCCTTAAAGCAGTTCGACATTCGAACCAGTTGAAAGAAAGATGTTGTAAGATTTCCCTCCTCTCCCTTTCATCCCCCTTTTCCTCTCTGAAAGCAGTTGTGTGCCACTTTGCTTTGCATCCCACCTTGTTTTTGCGGCTTCCCATTCGATGGATCCACCATGGCACTTGCTTGCCTTCGGACTACTGTGCTCGCTTGACAACTAGGTCAAGAGGGAAATGCTCTTCTCTTTCAGCTGAGCTCAACTGTTCCGTTCAACGTTGAAAGAAGATGAAAAAAGATGAAAGAAGTAGTTTCAGCATCGCCACTGTATGTCACTACGTCCTCAGAAATTTCATTCATGCATTGTCTACTGAATTGTGAGTCTAGGTCCTGTCGAGGTGGCACACTTCATTTCACCCAAAGCATACCATTCCAGTTCAGCAGTTTGAGCACCGTACTGCAGGAGCAACCCGCCGGCATGTATTGGTTCAAACCAAGGGTCTTTGCCAATTTGTACTGGGCTAGAAACTGCTTCCAACAAACGTATATTGATTATATAATATTATATATACATTGTATTACATTGTATTACCTCTCTGTGGAAGGACTGACTGTATCTCATACATTCTCATACATGTATATCACATGAAAGAAATAGAATGGAGTAGCAAAATTCAACAAATTTGTCATTCGCGGCCCCTGTCACATTTTCAATCAGCTCTCGAGAAGCGTGGTGAAGAAGCCAGAGCCGATAGTTGCCAAAGGAAGACACTCATACTGCAGCGGCGGATGCTTATGCCTTCGCATCCCAGCCAAATAGGGCACATGGCATCATCATGAAACAATATGAAACATCTGTGTTTAATACGCGCGCACCAAGACATGCTTGACATAGTTGAGAGATTATGGCAGATTCTGACAGCATGGCAGTTGCATAGAGACTGGGTGCCATACAGGTGATTGAATGTGATTGAAATCATCCAAGGGTGCCGCAGCCCTACTGCTGCCTGACAACCAAAAGGCCTGGAAAATGCCCCATTAGGGTTTCCCCATGAGTTGCTTGATTCTCTGAACGCCTGCCCTCGGAACACGAAGGAAAAATAGGAAAACTTAACAAATTTGATGTGGTTGCCTCTGTTTGAACGAGTTCTTTAAAAGAGAGCAGGATCGAGATCTTCAAAAGCCTGTGCGGTGGCATGCAAACGGAATCCATTTCACCGGGTGCACTGCCGGTGCAGTTTCAGATGCTGTTCAAAGATTCCTTCCTGATTTTTGGTGGAATAAGAAAAGCATAAAGAGTCATGAGCATTTTGTTGATTTTAAGTGCACTTCTGCTTCCGGCAATGTACCAGAAATGGCCTTCCTCGTCGACTCGCGGGGAATTCTTGTGGCAGGCTGGGCGGGAGTTTATCTCGCTGAGCAATGGTGCAAGAGATCCGCAACGCCGACTGGTGAGGCTTTGTCCCCAAAGGTTGAGCAACAAAAATGAGAGAAAAATGCCAGAAGAATCTGCCAAACTAGAACCACTAAACAACCCAAAAGAAATGCTGTCAGCAAACACCCGATACCTAGTGTCATGTGCCAAGCTAGTGCTTGGAAGCTCAAGTCTAATCAAACACACGACCCTGTAATCACTGTAATCCATCGAACTGCATTAGGCTTGTATGAGGCCAATGTGCCACACCTTGTTTTGTACAACTGCTATAGCCAGGGCCACAGCTTTGAGATAGCGACATTGCATTTGTCTCAATGCCCGTGGCGGCTACATGCAAATTTGATGCACGCCTTAGTTTTTTATTTGAAATTAAATCATACTTAGTCATACTTGTATATATGCGCTCAAGTACCGCGATTCCATCGCACTTCTGAGCTACGCTCTGTGGCCCTCAGGCGAAGCCCATGATGCTGAGACCTTCACGAATGTCGATGCGGCTGGTCTGCTCCTTGATCTGCGGGTGTTCTTTCGGCTTGATCTTATCATCTTTCTCTTGAGAAGCCTTTGCATCCTTTGTGTCTTTCTTCTTGATGGTCTTTCCTTTTGTGTCTTTGACCTGGCACTTGCCACTCCCTTTCACTCTCACTGGGGTTTTGCGAAGCATCTGCAAATGGGAAGCATCTTCATCCTCCTCTGCCACCACCGTCGTCCACTGACACTGGGTGTTCGAGCGAATTGTTTGCCCGCAACCCTTGGCCACATGCTTGGAGCGTGCTTCACGGGCAAGCTCTTTCGGATCTGGAAAGGGATCTTCCAAAGCCAAGCTGCCGGGAATGCTTTCCACATCAAGAGTTTCTAGGCTCTCCACAGGAGACTTCTCCTTGATGACTTTCTGCATTTTCTCACTGTGCGCGATCTTGTGAGCACATTGAGCACCAAGCAGACGGGCTGCCCAGGTCATTGGTTCCTCCGAGTTCTCGTCGGGGAATGCAACCATTGCCATTGCATGATTTGAATCCACCAACTCCCATTCCGCTTCGACGGAGAGAGCTGGCCAGTCTCCTTAATGAAGACAGAAAAAGTATGGCATCATTCATCCATCAATTTACGCAATAGTACACTGTGCATTAAATATCTATGCAGATAGCGATGGATGCACATGCATGCAATCATAGATGCAGTGACACGTGCACTATATCTTGGACTCATGCAACACTTCTTGTGTCACGCTGGACCTGAAGGTTTTCTTGACCATCTGGCTTAGCCGGTATGTCCACAAACTTTCTTTCCATTCTCAGGGCCAAAAGGCATGGACCCTTTTATCTTTCAGAGCTCATTTGCTCCCAAAAGGCATGGGGCAACATGGCTCGAGCCTGCCTGCTGTTCAATTGGCATGAACTCAGGACAGCTCTGAAATAAAAAGTAAAGTCCTGTTCCGGAAAATTCAAATTTCACTTGGCTCTTCCGGGACGGGAAGGGAACAAAGGATAAACTGAAGAGCCTAAAAGCGGAACAGGACAAAAAGGTGTGATGATTCGTCCAAAATGTCGATGCGACAGCTATGGACTCATGCAACACTTCTTTTGTCACGCTGGACCTGAAGGTTTTCTTGACCATCTGGCTTAGCCAGTATGTCCACAAACTTTCTTTCCATTCTCAGGGCCAAAAGGCATGGACCCTTTTATCTTTCAGAGCTCATTTGCTCCCAAAAGGCATGGGGCAACATGGCTCGAGCCTGCCTGCTGTTCAATCGGCATGAACTCAGGACAGCTCTGAAATAAAAAGTAAAGTCCTGTTCCAGAAAATTCAAATTTCACTTGGCTCTTCCGGGACGGGAAGGGAACAAAGGGTAAACTGAAGAGCCTAAAAGCGGAACAGGACAAAAAGGTGTGATGATTCGTCCAAAATGTCGATGCGACAGCTATGGACTCATGCAACACTTCTTGTGTCACGCTGGACCTGAAGGTTTTCTTGACCATCTGGCTTAGCCAGTATGTCCACAAACTTTCTTTCCATTCTCAGGGCCAAAAGGCATGGACCCTTTTATCTTTCAGAGCTCATTTGCTCCCAAAAGGCATGGGGCAACATGGCTCGAGCCTGCCTGCTGTTCAATTGGCATGAACTCAGGACAGCTCTGAAATAAAAAGTAAAGTCCTGTTCCGGAAAATTCAAATTTCACTTGGCTCTTCCACGGTCCCTTTCTCACGGCCGCATGGCTGTTATAAGAGAATTGACAACAAAAGGAAAAGAAGTTGAGCTTCTCTCGGTCGAAAAGTTGTCTCAGGGCATTTAGCAGCAAAAGTCACGAGTCGATCTGTGTCAGTTGAATTGATCCGCAGATGCGGAATCTGCGCCTGACCATCTGGTAGGTAGAGGCGGGCCACAGAAAGTGACCGCCATCTACCACGTAATAAAATAACATCCAAAGGAACCCCACATTGTAAGAGGTATGTTGCTCCCCCTCGCCGGAGGCTGTAAGGTTTGAGATTTAAATCAGCAAGACGAAAGAATCCCATGTATCGCTTAAGGGTTTCCCGAAAGAACTGGGCCGAATACGGCCACAATGTCTCGCCAGGACATGGTTTCTGCACGGCGACTAAAGTAGCCAGCAGGTTCAACACTAAACTGTCTCGTATTGACACCGCTTCTTGTGTACCAGTGCGCAGGCCAGATTTACTGCTATAAAGGCTAATGATCCCACAAGACCTGGATATCTCAAGATCTTTAAACTGGATGGCCAACAGTTCCCCAGTTCGTAGCATGCAGTGAAAACCTAGACCTATCAGGCAAGCAAAAGGAAGGTTATTCAAGTCAACCGCGCGGCCAATAATAGCCTTTGCAATACAGGTGGTCATAGGAGGGGCTCGTTGAGGTGCTTCAACTCTCCTCCATGAGCGAAAACATTCGCCAGCTTTCACGATCTCCGGCCAAAAGAAATGTAACCCTGAGAGGGCGTCAGCGATCCAACCAACGGACTCGCCCCGCGCCCATTGCATTTCTATCCAATCACAAACAACATGATCCAAATCCTTGAGGTCAGCCTGTTTTTCTAAGAAAGGCAAAATACGGGCAACTGCAGTTTCATAACGTAAGCGGGTTTTATTAGTCACAGTATGTCACAGTGAAATCACATAGGCGGATTCCCGCTCGTTGTCTTTGGCGCGCTTTCTGCGTCTTCCCTGCCAGCACTACCCGTGGGATAGTGCGCGGCATTGCCGTTAAAGGCGACTGGCTGCATCGGTGGGATTCTCACTGGATCCCACGTGTCCATGAAGGAGGGTTGAGCCCATGGCTAGTTGTAAGGCACCAATTTTATTGCATATGGGTTGAAGCATTGCGCTTGAAGTTCTTCCCTTGGAGGGTATGTAAAGACAAACCATACTATCTTCAAGATGAAGCCAACGCTTGTTTATCTTTGAGGTGCACCTTGATTTCCAGAGGAGTGTATTAAGGATCATTTTCATCTCAAGGTAATTGATATGAGAGCTTGAACCCCATTTAATATTGAATAGTTGCTTCCATTGCCACCACACGACCACAAAGCTTTGACTGACGCATGGCTAGGGGCTTTTTGTCCCATTGCTTCTCCTGTAACAATCCGGACATCACACCCCGTATGATTCACACTCAACCCCAGTTGTTGAACCATCTCTTTCTCGGTAAACTGTGCCTCAGTATTTCCCCCATAACATAGCCACCGGCTCATGGGTACCTGTACTTCGGGGTGTGCACTAGACCCAGGTGCCGATCCGAGGCGCTTAACCATCTGGTCCGGCGTCATGCGTGGCACCATCTCAGAGCACATACTGCTGGCCATGATACCAAAAGAAAGAATGGAGAAGCTGTCTCCGCAAAGAGAACATCGGCTATCTTCATATACTTCTTTACTTTTCTTCATGTCTGAGGCGCTCATGCAGGAGGCCGCATGTGCGGGTCCAAAACCCAAAAGTAATTCTCTTTCACTGGAATCCAGGAGTCGAGGTTGTTGCCCTTCACAGTGAGTGTAGCAAAAATTGAGGTCCATATTGGTACGGCGGGTACCTGTAATGATCTGATGCCCATCGCACACGTGTATCAGCGCTGGCTCTTCTCAGCCCCGCCGGCTGCACTGGTGGCTGCACTCGCTGGATGCATTTCATGAAGGTGGGAAAAGTTGTTCCCGGGGCCGCGTCCCAGCGCCAGCCCGGTCTGATCCACTGACAATTATCAATAGGTTCTGCACTGACATAGGCGCGAACGTACTCACGTTCTTTCCAAAGTTCAATCCCTGTCATTTCGTATAACGGAGCCGAGCACCAGGCAAGTCTCGGCCTACTTACTGGCATACAATCTGCGGGGTCAAGTTTCACTGGCATAATTCCGAGCTCATCAGAAATGGCCATCCTAGCGTCTTCGTCCATTGACGCTACGTTTTCAACACAGTGCTTTACTTTACAGAAACTGCCAAAAATTTCATGTATCCATTGGAGAATTTCTACTAGTTTCCAAATCAGATTTGATCCTTCACCCTCCAAGTTGAAGCGATTAGCGCGTGCTGAGCTGAGGTGCACGCATGGAAAACCGCCAAATACATGTAATTCAGAAACATGCGCAAAAAGATTTGCCCATCGTCGAATCTCGTCTTTCGTAATGTTGTTGACGTCATGAAATTCAATAGCATCAGGCCAGGTGGTCCTCGTCACCCGATTTCCCTGTTTGCTCACATCAACCGCAATCCTTCCGTGTGGGATCACACCCAAGATGTCATAAATTCTAAATGTTCCCCCTATGCCATTGAAAAGTGAAATAAGCAACACGGGGCAGGAAATACCATGAAGACGGGAGTCAGAAAGCCAACCAACGTAAGACTGCCCTGACCATGATAAACCGCGGCTGATTGCTGCTGCTCCCCCAGACTCTGAGGCGTCTGAGCAAGTTACTTGCCCGTCGTATTCCGACGTCAGGTCCCCTTGTAAAAGAGGCCCTAAACATAGGAGTTGCAAAAGCTCTTGATGCAGCTTTCTGATTTGCGTCGCTTGTGGCCACTTTCAAGACATTGCCGTGCTTTTGAAAGAACCCCCATTGCTGCTCTTCTGTATTGTAATATAAAAATCCACCTTCCCAGAATGATCTGTGCTTCTTTCTTGCTCCAAGCAGGGTTCAACAAATGATACATAGTGACATAGTGGCCAAGCTTGTTTTAAAGATACGATCTGATGAAGCTCCTACAAGACCATTAATTCCGTCAATCCTTACCCCCAATTCCACAACAGATTTACTCCCCAGAACTTGCTTATCTTCCGCTGTCAAAATTCCAGTTGAATGCCATGCCTCCAAAGCTTTCTGCTGTAAAGCCACATTGTGGGAGAACTCTCCCTCAGCTCCGATAGGAAGTTGTCCAGGTACACTTGCCACCACGCTCGGCTCTCGGTAGCCGCGCTTGCGGCCTGAGTGAACCAGGGTGGCGGCTTGACTCCCCTTCTTATCTCTCTATCTTCAGGCAACCCCCTCGATAAAAGGACTTCTCGGGATATAGCTTGCATAATACCTACTGATGAACTCCATCCCATTGGCAGGACACGACATGTTGGCCTATAAAGTTTGAAAGCAGCGTCGCCTGTAAACCCCAGTTGATGACCCTTAACCGAAAAATTGAAACACATGTACTTCTGCCACTGCACCGGCAATTCAAAGAGGTAAAAGGCAGCTGACATATCGGCCTGTGACATGGTGATCTGATCTCCCGATTGTAGAAAAATGGGTAACCACTGTGTTGCACTGGGCAGATAATTAATATCACCCCGCAACACTTGGAACAACCCATTTATAGGTATAAGATTCATTATAACTCTTAACACCGGACGTTTATTTATCGTATACTTGTTTGGTTTGACGACTCCAAAAAGACCCGATAAATAAGTCCCACGTTTGTCGGTGTACGCAACGTCTGCAGGCACCCAAGAAATGATACCCCTTTCTTCCATCAGTCTAAAAACATCCATCTCTTGTCCTCTACAGATATGTACTTTTGCTGAAACTGCACAGGCTCCTCTTTCGTGCTCAGGTAATAATGATTCTTCAGGGTGCTCCAGCAAAAAACGAGTTCTTCCCTTCAAAAAAGGAAGAAGAGGGACAGATCCACCATGCCCCTTAGGGGGTAGGCCCCCTTCAATTTGTTCTGCACTCAGCGGATGAGGCTGAGAAATCTCTTCCCCCGTATAAGAAACTTTCTTTTCTTTCAAATCCCTAACCACATCATCAAAACAAATTTCGGGGGCAAGCGCTCCTAAAAGAAACCGCCTCACTTTCTCTTTCAAACCCTCAAGCACGGCTGCATGAATTTTTCCAGGCTGTCTAGTCCAGCCCTCGTTGGGGTAGCCGTACAGCGCGTTCATAGCCGCGCAGCCTTTAAAGCAACCCAAGCAGCTGTTCCAAGCTCCATACTATAGCCAGTCCCTTGACTGGCATCCACCCAAGGGATATCGGCTGGTATGACAAGTGGCAGGGGGAACAGCCCGCCGCGTAGGTCCAGCGCGGTGATCAAACTGTGTGATCCAACCAGCTTTCAGCCCCCATGCCATCTTGACTCCCGGCTCAATCATGCTCTTGACTGCACAGAGCTGCTTCAGCCACTCAAGTCGCGTCGAGGGTGCTGCGCCGCCAGCTCCTAAAGGGAGCACGGCTGGTACAGGCCTCCCCACTGCGAACTCTGGATTATTCCCATCACGGGAATCCAGCACAGACGATGTCGACCCCAACAACGGGCCGTCACCCAGCTGGGACATGCACTGCTGTACCTTGGGACTTTCTTCCCGGCTTGCTCTCTCCAGCACTGAGCTTGTAGTGCAAGGAGGAGTCATCAAGTCTCCCCCTCGCCCTTCTTCGCCTTCTCTCCTCCTTTTTCTCTGTTCTCCGGGCTCCAGTTGTTCCAACCTCCTTTTCCTTTTCCTTTGCCCTTCTTGCCTTTGCCTTTCCCATCCTTGAACTTGTTCTTTCCTTTGACGTCGCCGCCCCAATCTCCTCCGTAGGATTGCGGCCACCTCTGCCAGGAACCCCTTCCTCCGGCCTTCTCCACCTGTCTGGCGTGCTTTTGAGCACTCAGGAGTACGTGCTGGGGCACACTCTGACACTCCCCGTGTCCTCCTCGCAGAAGGCTTCCAGATGCCTGGCCATCGCCCAGCCTTGTCGCGTCGACGTGTCCACCGCCAGCAGCCGTACTGACAGCACGTCCGCGAGTTCGGGCAAACGGCCTTCTCGAAGGAGGTCCAGGCACCTCGCCAGCATTGCCAGTTCTTATGCATCGCGGCTTTTGCTGTCCAGATTTGGCTTCAGGATCAGCTGACAAGATAGTACGTTCCTATCTTCGGCCTCTGTCCTCTTTGCCCTAGCTGCTCCTAATCCTCCTCCAAAATCCCGTCGGCTGAGAGCTGTTCTATGGCTTGCTCTTCCAACATCTGAAAGACTGAGCCCGGCGTCTTCCTGGACTTTTTCTTCAGCGGGGCCATCATTGATCCCTCGCTCGAAGAGCTGTCCCTGCTCAAGCCCTCTCCGCTCTCGGATTCCGAGCTGTGCCTCCTTTTCTTTCTCCTTCTCCTTGACCTCGAGCGACTCCTGCTCTTCTTTTTCTTCTCCTTGTGGCTCGAGCTGCTTTCAGGAGCGAATCGGCCATTGTCTTCTTCTTCTGCTTGCTCTTCTTGTTGGCCTCGGATGCAGTGTCGCTGAGTATTTCTTCCACTTCCTTCTTCACCAAGGGGACCACTGCCGCAGAGGGTGATTTGGGGCGTGCGCCAAACCTGCCAGCCCCACCCTCCATGCGGGGTTCGTCTTCCCGTTGACGTCCTAGCCTTGCCGCAGATGCGGAAAAAGAGACTCTCTCCGGAACCCGCTTTCGCAGGGCTGATAGCCGAGTTTCCACCTCGCTCTCGCCATGCACCATGTGCTTCCTTCCTTTTCTCGTCTGCGGGATCGGTAGTTGTCTTTGCCGCCAGGGCCTTTCCATCTGTAACCGCCTTCCTTCCATGAGCGGTCAACCAACTGGCAGTGAGATCTCCCGGGGGATACCAATGAAATTTGGACAGGTGGAGGCCCTCGTGTTCGTATTGGAAACATTCTTGAGGCTTCCGATAACAAAGGTGTATCTTCCGCTTCTTGCTTTTGAAATAGCCCATCACTTTCTTTTTCTCCTCCTCGGTGCTGGCCCATATATGCCCTTTACTGTCAGCCAGATGCCTTCCTGCAGTGACTCGGTTTCCAAAACCAGCACAGCGGCATCGGGGACATCTGGGCCTTCTCCCTGGGAAGGATCCTTGAACACCAAGGTAGATCCTGGCGGCACATGTCTCCTTCTCCAGAACTCTGCCTCGGACAGGTCTCTCTGATATCTGAAGGTGAGGGAAAGTATTCCACTTCCTCTTGCCATCCGCCAGGGGGATCAGGGGGGAATGACATTCCCTCCGGACCGCCTAGAACCCTTAGGCCCGGCGTTCCAACCCCTCACGGAAGTCACCTGCCAAGGCTGTCTAGACGGCGGTGACTCTTCCTAAAGGGATCCTCTGCGTCCCTGTACCTCCTCTGATGTTTCTTTCCTCCTCGTCGCTTCTTTCCTCTGTGCTGTCGATGAGAATCTCGTGGATATCGAGGCTCAGCCGGCCTGTGGCTCCCCCTTCTCTCTCTTTCCTTATCCTTTTCTTCTACCTTCACTGGGGGCATCTCGTGCCTGATCTTCTTCTTCACTCTCCTCACCTTCTGAATAAAGGCTTTCCGGGCTAGGTTCTCGCTCTCCTCTACGTGGGGGTGCTGGCGGTGGAGGCGCACGAGGGATATAGGTGGGCGCTCGTCCCTGGGACTCCTTGACCTCGGACGCTCGGCCTTGCTCTTGGCTGCCGTCAAGAGGGCGCGACCCTCAGCGGAGCCTGAGCTAGATGCCAGCGAGGAGTCCAGGTTATACAAAGCTCACACAAAACGTGCTCCAGACAGCGCCGCCTCCTCGGCCAATCCACGCAACCCAGGCAACCCCCACTTCTTTTTCAGGAAATCCTGGCTTACTTCCAAAGAAGAACAGCCAAGACACCAAGAGACCCCTGCAGGTTGTGTCCCTGAGCGACACTTGTTGCAAGGGGCCGCAAGCATTAAGAACTAAACTGAAGAGCCTAAAAGCGGAACAGGACAAAAAGGTGTGATGATTCGTCCAAAATGTCGATGCGACAGCTAGTGATATTCTATGATCATCTGTCTGTCTTTGGACAAGGAGATGATTACGGATGTGTACATTGTACGTTCATCTGTTCTTTCCGCAGCGATAATCATCATTCTTCTTGCGCTACATGCTACGAGTATCAGCAGGAAGCCACGGTTTTGAGTCAATATTATACCACATGTGTGTGCAGAATAAACCGCCATCTATAGTATCATAATAATATACATTTATATATATATATGTCTATATATATATTATATGTGTGTATTATATATATATATATGTATATATATATATTCAGACATATTCTAGCCATGACAAACCAAATTTCCAGACACAAATATATAAGACAATATCGGTAGCAGGCACTTTCAACCGAAACGAGGGACGGCTGTTCAGCTTCATCACCTGAGTCATGGCAATGGGAGCCATTGGATCTTCGCAACGTCACAATGGGAGTGCGGGCACTGATAGCAGACTCAAAATGGGCACTGGCGAAAAAGTAAATCACAAGCTCAGAACAATTCATAGCACAATGATCCAAGATGACCCGAGGCAATTTCAAGTCATTCGGACCAAGCAAGAATCCAGAAACATCAAGAAACATCATCAATGATCCAGAATGACTCAAAACCATCAAATTGTATCAAATTGCCATGTTTGGTGGAAGGAAGGTGGATGGTTTAAGCACTGGCGCCCTCAGGACACTGAATCATGGCTCAGCAAGAGCAATTGATCTAACGACACACGCGCAATCGCCGCACCAAACGCTTCGACCAACTCAGACACTTTCCACTTGCGCGCAGTGTACAAGGTAGCAGCTTGTGATGAGCAGTGCCAACTTCAGAATCTCTAAGGACCCGTCAGTGAAGCGGTGAAACTGCAAGGACTTCGCGCACTGCACACGACGCCAAATCCCAATTTCGAGGACATAACAGGACATATGTTTTAATATCCTTAAATGCTATGCAATGTGCCCCATTGCTTTGGCTGACCCTTTGTTCAGCGGAGCACATGTGCAAGTCTTCAAACACTACGAGCATTGCAGGGAAGGCTTCTACCCTGCAGTACGCAGGAGGAAGATTAAAGCATTAAAAATAAAACGTAAACAATCCCATAGTAACTATATCATACTATATCTGTCCTTCGGGCAACCGGCGCAGAATGGCAAATTTGGCTTGATGCAGAATGCTAAGAGCATGCACCAAAAGGCCGCCCTTGATGCATGCCTTTGCGATGTGATGCAGCGGCAGTCAAAATCATTGCAGCGAAACAAATCACATGCGATACGAACACTGAAATCTACTTCTGACGCCGGGACACATTGATGGCAGCTCTGCAAGTCACTTCATTGGCTTTCGGTAGGGTCGGCAAGCTAGTCAACCACCTGTCCAAAAAGCTCAGAGCCCAGTTCCTTGGGCATGGGCAGGCAAGCATGCTCAAGCATGTCTGTGTCCAGTTGACCCTGGGCTCCTTTGCAAAGAGGCTCCCTGTATCTGTTGTTTATACTTTACTGATCCATTTGATAAGCTTCCTCTTGCCCCCACACTCTCATTGGGCAGGGCAAAGTCAATCATCTCAATTTAGGTCTAGTGTTGCCCCTCAAGATTCTACATAACTCATCTCTGTCTGGGCAAATTCATCCCGCAATCATGTCTTGATCTACAGTTTGTTCACTTTGTCTTGCACCTTCAAATCCAGCTAAAACAGCGCAAAATGCGCACATTTGCTTGTACTATTCTGCACACTTCCCCGTTACACATCGTTACACTGTGTATATATAATTATATATATATATCTGCAAAATTTACTTTAAATTCAAAACGGTTTCCTCGTCTTAAATCTACTTTTCCCCTCTGATTAAATCTTCAGTCCTCGCCTCGTTACATTCAAAACGGATTTCAGCCCTCGTCCCATTTCTTTCTCGACCGCAAGCCATTCGAACTAGTCCTCTGCCTCCTTTTGGGTTGAACTTTTTTGAATTATCTTTGTCGTCGTTGCAGCAACGCTCTGGGCTCCAGAGGCTTGGGGATGCTGAAAAAACTTTTCAGGGCCTAAAAAGTTTTTTCCTGTTTCCGAGATGCCTCTTTTACAAGCGGATTTGCAGGGGCTCGATTCCCCCCAAATTCGACCCCAGAGAAGAGAAGCTGCAGCAGCAGCACCAAGATACCCCGCTACACCTCAAGCTTTAGCAATTTTAGAATCTAGTCGCGCTACCTGGGAAAGGTGAATAAGAACTATTGACCAAAATTTCAGGGTTCCCTAGGGTTCTTATTTCAATTAGCTGGTAGACAGAGTTGAATCCAGCAATCCAGCCCCTGAGGTTCTTAATGCAGTGGGTTCTTAAACAGTGGTTTCACTGTAGAACAAATACGGAAGTCCTGGAACAACCGGGCATGCCACCACAGGGCACTGACTGAATTACGATAAAAAAAACTTTTCGGGCTCCAGACGGGTCTGAATGCACCCTTAATTTTCTATTTTTTCACTCTGATGGGAACACAAAAAAACTTTCTGGAGCCCGAAAAGTTGTTTTTCACTCGTTGCACATGCTTTGAAAGCAATTTCTGCCCACCTCGTTTTCTGAATTTAATTATTTCACCTCGCTTAAATTGCAAAGATTCACCTCGTACCTCGTCAGCCCTCGCTCTAAATTGTGCAGATATATATAAATATATAAATATAGGCATTGAATTTCAACTGAATGGCGCTCAGCCTCCATCGCTCGCCTTTGTCGCAAGCACTGATTGCAGAGCTGCAAGTAACCGCAGTAGGCGTCAACTTTGCCCGCGGCATCACGTCAAGCAGTTTGAGAGCCGCCTGCCAGCATCCACAAACTTCACATGCACTGATAGCAGAGTTGAAGCTGATGACCTTAGGCTCAAGGGAACTTGGGAGGAAATGGCGCTAGGGAGAACCCGAAGCTCGTTGAGTACTGGCAGGCTGTCTTTATCAACTGTGACGCGCCTACTCGGAGCAAAAACTCCAAAGCTGCTCATGAATGCTTTCGATAGCTTGCATTGGGCTGTTGTGTTTGGGCTGTTTCGAGTCTTTAAAAGAGCCATGCGAGTTGCAGTGCTCGTTCTTTCATTCTGATAGCTTGCAGCCTGCAAGATCTCTCCCTCACAATGCAGCCCAGGATCACTGGGCCTCAAAAATGCAAAGGGCAAGCCACAGCGAAGCACATTCAGTGCTCGCAGCCATTGGCCGCCCTTTTCACATGCACTGATGGCTGAGTTGAAACTAATTACCTCAGTGGCCGTGGCCAATGCCTGGCCACAACAGGCAACAAATTCCTTCTATGCTTGTGCCATGCGCACCCAACAATGGGCATCTAGAATCCGACGGAAAAATGGCACTGCCATGTGACTAGGAATACTATGACATGATGAAATGTGACATTGAATAATTATCAATATTATTGGGTATCTAATGCATCTATATGTGGGAGTTGACCGAATGCACACCTGCCGGTACACCCACGATGCAACACAACACAAAACTACACAAAACAATACACAACACAACCCAACGCAACACGACGCAACACGACACGACCCCGCCCAACCCAACCCAACCTGACACACAACACAGCACACAGCAACACTCTTGACAAAAGCACACTGCATTGCATCACATCACATAAAATCACACGTTCCATGGCATTGCATGAAGCTGCATACTCATACGTATTATATGATTATGCATATGATTGCATGTGTGCAAATGTATGCATATGTGTACATCTCGCTGCGCCTCTTTGTATATGCGACCTCCGCATAGTGATGTACATTTTTTGCCAGGGCTTCTCAAAGGATTCTTCCCACCACAATGTACAAAGATTACACAGCATATTCAGGCACATCAATGCAAACTGTTTGACTTGCTTGCAACGGCTGAAAGCGCAAACAGGCCACGATTCGCTCAACCTTCGCATTCACCATACCCTTGAGAAGTTGGATAGCAGTACCCCACTGCTCACCCTTCTCACAAGCACTGATGGACGAGTCAAAAGTGATGAAGTCCGGTGCAACTACAGCACAGCTCATGCAACCTTGGAGGCATGGCTTGGGGCAGAGGCCTGCAGCATGTAACACGCAAGAAAATTTGAAACGAAACAGCCAAGTCCTAGCCGAAATGAACGCAATTGGTACTCTTGTGATCTGTTGTCCACGTGTGGTCTTATCATGATTCACCGCATTTCACCGCGAACAAGTTATTGACACTCTGCCTATTTTTGGCTGTGGCTCCGAGTGTTTGGACGGCAAAGTGCCAGCGTCCAGCTTTTTCACAAGCACTGATTGCGGCATTGAAGCTGACGTCAATCCTTTCGACTTTGTCTCGGCACATGGAGTGCAACAAGTGGATTCCAAGCTGCCACTGTCCTGCCTTTTCACCAGAGCTGATGTACGCATCGTAGGTGATGGTGTTTGGAAAAACGGCGACTTCGCGGGAAGAATGGAAAACAAATGATGCCAGTTGCCATTCACCCCCCTTCTCGCATGCAGAAATTGCGCTGCCATAACTGACAACCGTTGGTGAAAGCTCGGCCCGTTGGCAGGACTCCAGCAAGCAGAGAGCAACTTTCCAGCGAGTAGCACTTGCACATGCATTCATGGTGCTATTGTAGATGATGATGTTGTGCCTGAGTTGCAAAGAAATTACCCTGCTTGGTGTCTTGAGTGTGTACGCTGACCAGCTCTGCGGAAAATCATGTCATAATGGAAAGAGTCTCCAAATGTCTCAAGCATCGAACAAATTCAAGTGTTCATCCCTCCCAGCCTCAAACGGTCCTTGGAGGACAATTCAAGAAGTCGCACAGCACGCTCCCAATTAGAGCCTTCACACGCCGCAATGGCACTACTGAAGCTGATGATAGTTCGCTCTAGCCTGTTGTCTGACATGGACGACCTTGGCTTGGAAATGCTGATCATCACACCAGGGGTGGCGGCTTTGAAGGCTTTCGGTGTGCAACTGGGGCTATTTGTCATGTGACTCTATGACACCATGACGCTAAGTAGCTGTTTGAAATCCCTGAAGTGATTTGAAGCTGAAGAATGGATTGGAATACATCACCTCCTCGAAGCTTGGTCATCAGAGACTCAGACTCAGCTTTGGTCACTCTGCGATTTCCTGCCTGCTTCAATTAGAGCAGCACGGAAGTTGTCTCCAGCCGCTAAGCCCTTGTCCCATTGGTTTCAACATGCTCAGCAGTTTCTACAGTGCCGGTAGCAAGATTTGAAGTTCATTGAGACATTTCATGACATTTCCATATATTCCTAATCCACCGCCAAGCTTCAGCAAATTCAACGCAGATTGCCACATTTCAGTGGTGGCACAAGCATTCATAGCTGCGTTGTAGTGGAAGGTGGAGGTCTCAGCTGCGCCTATAAGCCATCAACAGCCATCGTGAAGTTTGAAGAACTAAGTTTATATATATATATATCTGTGTCTGTGTGTGGTATTTATTTATAATCCGCCGGCCT